AATATTATTTTATTTTACTTTAAAGACTTCTCTGTTTCAAAATCCTGCTTCCTAAAAAAAAAAAGGCTTATTTTTTCTTGTTTTTCCCGTCGTTATTTCAGTATCATTGATATACTGCTCTATTTTTTATTAATATTTTGAATTAGTTTTTATTTTTTATATTTTCTGTTTTTATTTTAGTTAACATTTTACAAATTATATTGTTTTTGTCATTTTTATTAGTACTTTAAAAAATATATATTTTTTTTAATTAAATTGTGATTTTTAATTTTAGTTTATTTAGTTGTAGTACTTCAGCTTAAATTAAATAGCTGAAATGTTTTAATGTTTTTAATGCTGAAAGGTTGTTTATATATGCCACTCTTTAAGTATTTGTACTAATAATGTTTTGCATTGTAACACTGCTTTTATTTATTTCTCTTATTGCGTAATGATTTTTTTTTTTTTGCATGATTTTTTATATGCCATAATGATTTTTTATTATTGCATAATGACTTTTTTCTTCTCCCAGAGGAAGTGTTTAGTTTACTTTAAATTATTTCACCTTTAAGACTCTATTTCAAAATCCCGCTTTCCAAGAAAAAGTCTTCAATGTTTCTGGTTTTCCGACAGAAGAGACGGCCGACTGGGAGAAGGAGCTGCAGCAGGAGCTTCAGGAGTACGAGGTGGTCGTCGACCCGGAAAATCGCGACGATAACTGGGACCGTGAGATCGAGGAGATGCTGCAGGACGACAGCTGAAGCGTGACAGCGCCTCCTCTGGTGTGGAGGACGCACTGCTGTGCCTCAGCGCTCAAATGAAGAAATCAGCAGGACGTTTCTACCATTTCATCAATCTGACCGGACTGAAATATCAGGGTTTCCTATAAGAATGCTTAATAAATGCGATGTTTAGCAGTAGAGGGATTCGGTGAGGTGCCAACATGCACAGAACTAAGATCTTAATTACTGAGAACACATTGAAGAAATCAGCAGGACGTTTCTACCATTTCATCAATCTGACCGGACTGAAATATCAGGATTTCCTATAAGAATGCTTAATAAATGCGATGTTTAGCAGTAGAGGGATTCGGTGAGGTGCCAACATGCACAGAACTAAGATCATAATTACTGAGAACACATAAATCAGGTTTAACTTTTCTTTCTGACTAATTTCTGCCACAATTTCTTCTTTCAGAGGTGTACAAGCAAACCGAAACTCAAAAAGCTGAACGGTTGTAGCGCTCCAACACTTATAAGCGCACATAAACTCGTGTGAAGGCAAATGTTTTAACGGCTTCTCATTCCTTTATCGGTTTTTGATTGCCGGTTTGATATTTGTGCTCTGATCATCGTCTGGCAGGTTTTGGTGAAGATGAAATCAAATTGAATTCCATAGCTGTTTATTCATTCAGTGTATACATGTTTGTAAGGTGAGAGGTGTAATATAACTTTGTGTTTTTTCAACTTGCACCTTGTCTTATTACTTTAAAGATGATTTCGTTGCAGTAAATAAAGTCTAAAATCCTCTCTTTTCTGGTTTCTCCTTTAGTTTAATACTCTGTGCTACATGCTATAATAATGCAGTTAATAAAAGAAACGTTTTTATGACGTTTGTGTTTTTAATGTCGTTCTACATGCACATGCACGTTATTTAATGACATATTTGTGCCTTATTTAATGGCTCGTATGCGTTTTTTTAATTTTTATTACAAAACTTGTAGAAGCATACAGAAACAGGGAAGCGAGACATGAATATATTCAAATTAATATAAGTCAAATTAAGTATTATCGATACATAAAACTGCAAAAATAAACTTGCATTCTTTTAGAAAAGTTGTCATAATGCATCAAAAGTTTGGCACTTTTTGTTATTTGTAAGTCTAAGAGATGAAACAAGAGTCCAATTAAATTGTTTTGGTGCTTTTGATTATGATACTGTATTATTACTGTGGTATACAACTGCAACCACATGTTCTGGACTTGGAAAATGTCTTGTCCATGTATGTAGGAATGTATTTGCTTCTGTCATTGTGCAGTGTCCTTGAGCCTGGGAAAGGTGCTATATAAATTAAACTTATTATTATTATTATTATTAACAAGAAAAAGGGGGAAAGACAAAGGAGATTTAAGCCATTTTTTCTCATGAATTAAGAATTTTGCATTCAATATAAGAAAATTAACAAATATGCATGTGTTTGCACCATAGGTTTGCACAGGTCAGTTGTTCGTCTTGAACGTGTCACTGAGCACGTAGACGTAATAGCGTCATTCGGGTTGCCAGGTGCTTTTGGAACCCGCTGAATTCGCCTTTGTTAAAACCAAGCGGCAACCTCCCGCTCTCTCTCGTGAAGCCAACACGGAAGTGACTTAAACTGTAATTCATCAACTGGCCGCTAGAGGCTGGCTGCAAAAGGGAGTCCGGACACTACGTCCATGTTTTTATACAGTCTATGGTTTAAACATAATAAACCCTAGAGATGCATGCGTCAGTATTTCGACGGCAGTCGGTGAAATGTGCAGAAACATTGAATTTGATTGAGTGTCCATTTGTTGTTAATACAATTTAAAGTTGCCATTTTTAAATAATAATAAAAATCCCAACAATCATAATATTCATAACAATAATAATCTTTTGCATTGCATAACGCTTTATGAATAAATGTATTATGGCACATTTAGCCCTAATGTTTTTTTTTTCTTATTATATAATGGTTTTTTTTATCTTTATTTATTTTTAATATTATTTTATTTTGTTAATGTACATTTTGTTTGTGTTGTGGAGGGTTTTTATGTTTGCATTGTAACGCTGTACTAATATATTTTAGGGTTATTGTAGTTAACCTACAACTAAAACTATACAAAGAAAAAAAATCGAATAAATTGAAAGAAACTTTAACTGAAATAAAATAATATAAAAAACGTTTTACTAAAGCTTTATTTCAAGGCAACATTTCTCATTTTGATTTAGTTTAACGTGATGTACTAACATAATTAAAACTGAAGTAAAAATAAATAAACTGTATACAAAGCTAAACTACTAAAAATGACAAAAACACAAAACGAAAACGAATGTTTTATTATTTAAATTAAATAATAAAAAATTCTAATTGTATCAGAGCAGGATGTTTATTTTAGTTTATTTTTAATATTAATTTTATTACATTTTATTTTGTTAATGTCGTTATTTTTCTGTCTGTGGTGGGTTTAAATTTAAATGTAAGTTATGTGACGTCATGCGATGTTCCGTGAGGAGGGTTTTTACCGGAAGATCTGGCCTCTCGCGCGCAGTCCGCGTTGGCAGCTGAAGCTAATGGAGGCGCGATGGCTCCGTTTCCCGACGAGGTGGATGTTTTTACCGGGCCTCACTGGCGCATGAAGCAGCTGGTGGGGCTCTACAGAGAGAAGGTTCGTGTCCGACCCGTTTTATGTGTCTTTTCACCTACTGAGGGTGTTTTTAAGGCGTCTGGTGGTGTGTTTGAGGAGTGCTAATGTTAGCCGCCGGCTAATACACAGACATCAGAGTTTAATGTGAACGTCTGATAACCATCTGATCTCAGATCAGCACGAACACGTCTCTATTTTTACATATTATTCACATTTTTACATATTACGCACACGTAGACTGAGACTATGAGCGTTTAATATGAATGTCTGATCTCAGATCTGTAGGAAAACACGTTATTAAATGCCAAATAAACATCTTAAATCATCACAACATGCCTAAAAGGTTGCATGCAATGTGTCTGATCTCAGATCTGTAGTCATTTGTATCGAATAATAATAAAATAAACACTCAAACCCACGTGACTTATGGAAATACGCAGTGTCTGATAATATTGCATATTATAAATATATATTAAATACGATTATTCTTTTGTTTCTTGTTGCATATTGATTCCCTAACACAATATTAACCTCTAAACACCTCATACTCATTGTAATATGTGTATTAATATGCAACACAGATGTGAATTACGCCACATTTAGTGATTTTACTGAATTTAAATTTTATTCATTTTTATTATTTATTTATTTTAATCATTTATTTAAATTATTTATTTATTTTTGTTTAGGTCTTATTATTCATTAATTAATTATTTTTATTTATTTTAATATTTTTTATATAGTTATTTGGATTTTTTTTTTATTACTTATTTTATTTGTTTATTTTAATCAAGTTTTTAAATTTATTTTATTTATTTAAATAATTTTTATTTAGGTGTTTAGGTCTTATTATTCATTGATTTAATTATTTTTATTTATTTTAATCATTTTTATATAGTTATTTAGATTTTTTAAAATTACTTATGTATTTTATTTGTTTATTTTAATCGTTTATTTATTTCAATAATTTTGTATTTAGTTACACAAACCCACGTGACTTATGGAAATGCACAGTGTCTGATAATATTGCATATTATAATATATATTAAATACGGTTATTCTTTTGTTTCTTGTTGCATATTGATATTTTAATATTTATTTAATATTTATTATTACATAACCATTGTAATCTGTGTATTAATACATGCAACACAGATGTGAATGACGCCACATTCAGTGTGTCTGATCTATAATCAGATAATTTCTAGATTAAAACACACTTTAAATGCACTTTCTGCGTTGCAGATGAATGTTTTGGACATTAAACTCATTAAAGCACTGAAATGAGGTGTAGGAGTGGCCTGCTTTAGTCTGATTCAGTCTGATTAGGTCGGTCACTCTAAACGAGTTTTGCATGGAGTTTCTGATGGTTTTAGTGAGTGTGCAGCTTTAAACAGACTGAATGGGTGTTTGGGTTCGTCCGTCACACACCCTGATTATGTAAGACGAGGAGTGTGTGTGTGTGTGTGAGAGAGAGAGAGAGAGAGTGTGTGTGAGAGAGAGTGTGTGTGTGTGAGAGAGAGGGTGTGTGTGAGAGAGAGAGTGTGTGTGTGTGAGAGAGAGTGTGTGTGTGTGAGAGAGAGTGTGTGTGTGTGAGAGAGAGTGTGTGTGTGTGAGAGAGAGTGTGTGTGTGTGATGTGTGTGTGTGTGTGAGAGTGTGTGTGAGTGAGTGAGTGTGTACCCTTAGACCTCAGTTTGAAAACCCCTAATCTAGAGAGGACGATGGCTGATATAATGCTAATATTTTACGAGCAGTTCAGTTTATTGAAGCCATTTGAGTCGTACATAAAATCTCAATATCAGAATGGCCAAATATCATCTGATTTGTCGGCCTGATATATCGGTCCATCACTACTGAATATGAAGCGGATTTATTTTTCTTGGGCAGATGAGAGCGAGATCCTGGATTATTTATTATTCTGTCATATTTCATTGCTTTGTTTCGTGTGTTTCCGTCCACAGCTGTCCAACACCAACTTCTCCAACAACAGGGACTTCCGCTCGTTTCTGCAGTCGCTCCTGGCCACGTTTGAGGAGTTCAAGATGCACGAGCAGATCGAGAACGAGTGCATCATGGAGCTGCTGCAGGAGCGCAGTCAGACCGTGTATCACGTGCACGCCGACAACAAGCTCTCTGAGATGCTGTCGCTCTTCCAGAAGGGGCTGCGCAGCGTCAAGGTGTGTGTGTGTGTGAGAGAGAGAGTGTGTGTGTGAGAGTGTGTGTTAAAAATGTATAAAAGAAATATTTCAGTCTTTTTTTTTACATTTTAATCCTATTTATTTAGCTATTTTTATTTATTTCATTTAAGTTTAGTGGTTTAATGTTTTTTTTTTTTTTAATTGTAGGCATTTTTAATCTATTTATTCAGTTTGTTAGTTTCTCATTTTCATTTAGTTTAACTTTGTTTACTAAAATCACTAAAACTAAAAATAATGTATAAAACTGTATAGACATTTCAAAAAATATTTTTGTCAATTTTTTTATTTTAATAGTTTTTTTGTTTTTCATTATCTATTTTTATTTGTTTGTTTTAATCAAGTTTTTATTAATGTTTTTAATTTATTTATTTTAATTATTCATTAAGTTAGTTGGATTTTATTTTTTATTCTTCATTTAGTTTTTATCATATTTTTATGTTGTTTGTATTTTTATTTTACTATTTAAATGCATTTAAACGAATATTTTAGTCAATTATTTATTTTAATAATAGTTTATTTAGTGAGATTTTATTATCTATTTTATTTGTTTGTTTTAATCGTGTTATTGATTTAATTTTTTTTTTGGAATTTTTTTGAAGCTAGATTAAATTTGTTTTATTCTTTATTTGTTTTATCTTATTTAAAGCTTTTTTTTACTATATAGACATTAAGAAAAAACTAACAAAAATGACAAAAACAAACAACAAAATACTAAAACTAACTAAAAACAAAATGAAAAGTATAAAAATAAAAGCTAATTCAAAATATGAATAAATACTATAATAGTATCTCAAAGACGTGATTATACTAAGATAACACATGAATGAAAAATGCAGATGCACAAATGTTAGCAGCAGCAAAAACAGCCCGTTTATTTGTAAGGGACAGAGAAAAGTTGGAAAACGGTAATGGAACAACGTTTTAAATTATTATAAGAAACTATATTATATTTATAAAAATATATAATTTAAGTGGACGTCAAGATAAAATGCTATATTTAAGTATAACTGCTGTTCAGAATCATGCAAAAGCTTTTTGACTTCAATAGACAAAGTCCATTTTGACGCATCAGGCCGAACTTGCCAAATTTGGGGAATTTTCCACTTGATTATGTACAGGGCATCGGGAAATCCTGCGGGAAATGGAAAGAATGAAGATAGTGAGTGTCTGTAAACAGCGGCCTTCTAATAACTGTGCTTATGAAATAAATTCTCATGTGGCAACAGCTTATGGAAAGCTGTTGTGTGATGAAGTGTGTGTCAGTCTGGTTTTGATGGTGACACAGCGACTCCTTTATTAAGAAATGACTGGTCAATGGTCCGTGTTGAGTGCTGTTTCTGTGTTTCAGAGCGAGTGCGAGCAGCTGAATTACGCGCAGCAGCTGAAGGAGAGGCTGGAGGCCTTTACCCAGGACTTCCTTCCTCACATGAAGGAGGAAGAGGAGGTGAGGCAGACACTTCTTCATCATGCTGGTATTACATTAGAGCAAAACAAACCGCAAGGCAACATTTCTCATTTTCGTTTAGTTTAACTTGGTGTACTAAAAAAAGTAAAACTGAAATAAAAATGTATAAAAGAAATATTTCAGTCTTTTTTTTTACATTTTAATCCTATTTATTTAGCTATTTTTATTTATTTCATTTAAGTTTAGTGGTTTAATTTTTTTTTTTTTTTAATTGTAGGCATTTTTAATCTATTTATTCAGTTTGTTAGTTTCTAATTTTCATTTAGTTTAACTTTGTTTACTAAAATAACTAAAACTAAAAATAATGTATAAAACTGTATAGACATTTCAAAAAATATTTTTGTCAATTTTTTTATTTTAATAGTTTTTTTGTTTTTCATTATCTATTTTTATTTGTTTGTTTTAATCAAGTTTTTATTAATGTTTTTAATTTATTTATTTTAATTATTCATTAAGTTAGTTGGATTTTATTTTTTATTCTTCATTTAGTTTTTATCATATTTTTATGTTGTTTGTATTTTTATTTTACTATTTAAATGCATTTAAACGAATATTTTAGTCAATTATTTATTTTAATAATAGTTTATTTAGTGAGATTTTATTATCTATTTTATTTGTTTGTTTTAATCGTGTTATTGATTTAATTTTTTTTTTGGAATTTTTTTGGAGCTAGATTAAATTTGTTTTATTCTTTATTTGTTTTATCTTATTTAAAGCTTTTTTTTACTATATAGACATTAAGAAAAAACTAACAAAAATGACAAAAACAAACAACAAAATACTAAAACTAACTAAAAACAAAATGAAAAGTATAAAAATAAAAGCTAATTCAAAATATGAATAAATACTATAATAGTATCTCAAAGACGTGATTATACTAAGATAACACATGAATGAAAAATGCAGATGCACAAATGTTAGCAGCAGCAAAAACAGCCCGTTTATTTGTAAGGGACAGAGAAAAGTTGGAAAACGGTAATGGAACAACGTTTTAAATTATTATAAGAAACTATATTATATTTATAAAAATATATAATTTAAGTGGACGTCAAGATAAAATGCTATATTTAAGTATAACTGCTGTTCAGAATCATGCAAAAGCTTTTTGACTTCAATAGACAAAGTCCATTTTGACGCATCAGGCCGAACTTGCCAAATTTGGGGAATTTTCCACTTGATTATGTACAGGGCATCGGGAAATCCTGCGGGAAATGGAAAGAATGAAGATAGTGAGTGTCTGTAAACAGCGGCCTTCTAATAACTGCGCTTATGAAATAAATTCTCATGTGGCAACAGCTTATGGAAAGCTGTTGTGTGATGAAGTGTGTGTCAGTCTGGTTTTGATGGTGACACAGCGACTCCTTTATTAAGAAATGACTGGTCAATGGTCCGTGTTGAGTGCTGTTTCTGTGTTTCAGAGCGAGTGCGAGCAGCTGAATTACGCGCAGCAGCTGAAGGAGAGGCTGGAGGCCTTTACCCAGGACTTCCTTCCTCACATGAAGGAGGAAGAGGAGGTGAGGCAGACACTTCTTCATCATGCTGGTATTACATTAGAGCAAAACAAACCGCACCCGCGGACAGTGTTCACTAAACACAAGTCTGGATTACATCACATGTTATTCAAATTGGTCTGGAGTACTTACCATACGGTTTTTGTTTTGTTTTCATTTTATTATTTTATGTTTTATTTTAAAGTGTCTCCTGAGACGGTTCTATTAAAGGGGTCATATGATGCTTTTTTAAAGATCATTATTTTGTGTATTTGGTGTAACAGAATATGTTGACATGCTTTAATGTTCAAAAAACACATTATTTTTCAAATACTGTACATTATTGTAGGTCCTCTATGCCCCGCCTCTCTCAAACGCTTCGTTTTCTACAAAGCCCCCTCCTT